GTCCATCCATGTTGTTGCAAATGGCAGTATTTCATTCGTTTTTATAGCTGAGTAGTATTCCATTGTGTAGATATACCACATTTTCCGTATCCACTCATCCGATGATGGACATTTGGGCTGATTCCAGCTCTTGGCTATTGTGAAGAGTGCTGCAATGAACATTGGGGAACAGGTATGCCTTCGACTTGATGATTTCCATTCCTTTTTGCTTTCCATTTTAAATAAAAAAATTTTTTCTTGAGGCGGACAGTCATTAAACTAGGAAAGTAGTAGTAGTTGCTTTCCATACTTGTTTGGTAGATGGTTGATTGGCTTTGTAACTTCCATTTTGGTTTGAAATGGATTCAGTATTTCTTTGTACAACCCTCCTATTTGGAATTCACCATCAGCACAAATGTAATATGTTGTTTTTATAAAGTATCATGAAAGCAGTTTGACCTTGATTTCTAACTTGAGAAAACAGTCGAAAGTTCGACTTTAATACTGCAGTATTGTTTCATAATCTTTAAACACTGCAGTTACATACCGTTTAGGAGGTACTCTGGGCACTTAGAAGGAAAGTCTCGAAGGGCAGCCTCACATGCTGAGATGCTCCGAGACAAAAGTTCTAGAATATGTGACCGAAGCCTCCTTTGTCTCAGGTCACCCAGGGAGGTTACTCAGTGCTGTTCTCTTGGCAGGGTCGAGAGGCCTTGGAGTGGGTGATCAGCCATCTCAACGTGGACTTGGAGGACCTGGTGGGCTGGGCCTGTGGGAGCGGGTGAAGCTATTGCGGCGCCTGGGCCTTTGGTCGCTGCCTGCACGGGGGACAGGAGACCAAGAGCTGGGCACAGCACTGCCCACAGATCCATCACCTGCCCACAGATTCATCACCTGCCCTGCCCGCCATGGACTGCACGCTGTGCCCCACATCTGGTTTGTCAGAAAGAACATTTGCTGTTGGTAGATGCCGAGAGACATTTAGGAAAGGGGCACAAGAAAGGCAGTGACTCTGCTACCTCTTAGCCCAGGTTTTACCTTTTTTTCTTTGTTGGTGAGAAGAACGATCTTTTTTTGTTTATTAAATAAGAAGTTAATTTAACTTCCCCAGAGTCCAAAATACCAGAGTGAAAGGGAATGGGCTTCTCACACTCTGTAACGTTCCAGCAGAAGTTTCCTGTGGGTTTTGATCCTCAAGTTTGCTGGTTTTCTCGGAAGGAATGCTGTTTTCAGAGGGCTGGAGCTGTGGTTTTGAAAGTTAGAGAGTCTGCGGACGGCCTTGGGAGCTGGTGAACGCTACAGATTTCAGGTCGTCAGCCCCAAAGATCCTGCTTGGTTGGTCAGGGCTGCGGCCCGGGGATCCGTGCTTTTAGCAAACTCGGCAGGCAGTTCCAAAGCAGGTGCTGGTCAGATTGTGCCGAGAAACCCTGAGCCAAGGGCTGCCTGTCCTTCCAACTGAGTGCGGGTATAAAGGGGTGCCCTCACCAGTGCTAGCACTGCTGCCCCTGCCCTGGGACAACACAGCCCTGCGTGCCAGTGCTTAAGTTCTGTGTTCCACAAAGGTCACAGCCATCCTGCTCGCACTCTTAGCTGATTTACCATGTTTCAATATCTTCTGCTGGCCACAGGCCTTAGGTGTAATTTAGGAGATGGATTTTTAATTATATGGATATAACAAGTAACACAAAATATCCCTATTCCATTTTAGTTTTGGAACATGAAATGGGATATATTTTTTCCTTATTTATGTTTTAACCAAACCAACCCATTTTTCAGAGGAGAAATGACTATTTTAGGAAAAAATAGTTGTTATGTTAATATTACTTGCCTGAAGTTTTATATACATACATATTTGCCAAAAGCATAGAAATGACGGGGCCGGCCTGGTGGTGCACTGCTACAGTGCGCTGCTTGGGAGCACGGCGGTGCTCCCGCCGAGGGTTCAGATCCCACATACAGACCAGCCGCTCACTGGCTGAGCGAGGCGCGGGGGCCACCACGAGGGGTGCGATCCATTGCCGGTCACGAAAAAAGACAAAAAGAAAAAAAAAAAAAAGAAAAAAAAAAAAAAGAAAAAAAAAAAAAAGCATAGAAATGACGGGGCCGGCCTGGTGGCCCACTGCTACAGTGCGCTGCTTGGGAGCACGGCGGTGCTCCCGCCGAGGGTTCAGATCCCACATACAGACCAGCCGCTCACTGGCTGAGCGAGGCGCGGGTGCAACACCGAGGGTTGCGATCCGTTGCCGGACACGAAAAAAGACAAAAAGGAAAAAAAAAAAAAAGCATAGAAATGAACCAGAATTCTTTCCTTAGTCTCCAGGGTTGCAGCTCTTTATTGCGACCCTCACGTTTGCAGGAGTGAATATTGAACACACCAGGTAGTTTCTGTGCCAGCTCTTCATACAACCAGAAGCTACTGGAATGATATTGAGGAGAAACCTGGAGTTTTCTGTTTTGCCAGCTGCATTTTCCAGAGCAGTGTGAGCCCATCAGACCGTCCTGTGTGTCGGAGCCTGGGCTGCTGACCAGGTGGCTGTGGCCGTGCTGCCTCTGCAGAGGCAGTGCGGGCGCCCGCTGGAGGCAGCCTCCCTTCTTGTAGGAAAGCCACGGCTCGGAGTGTTTGCTGCAGGCCGCTGCACTCATTTGGCGTTAGAACCGGATATTATGAAAACTGGATCTGACTTGAGCTGGTGGCTTTCTGGGTACTAGTGAGTGGGTGGGTGTTTGCCTCCAGCGTTAAAGCGCTCAACATTTAGGGAGGGCGGTGTGTGCTTTGATCATCAGGAGTCCCTTTCTCTATCCCCCCCAACCCCATAGTCTTCCCCAGCAGATCTCTACTTGTGGCTAAGCCTTAGTGGAAAGATTTTCATAGGTTCTGTGACAACTCCAGTATCTGAAGGACAGGCAGACTTGTTCGGGTGACATCCGGCAGCTGAGGAGCAGCCGCCTGTCTCGCTGCTGTAGCACACGTGTGTGACCCGGGCAGATCACGGGACCACTGAGCTTCAGCGTCCCCACTAGAAATGTGGGCGCTAATACCTCCCTCAAAGGCTGCACGAGAGTCAAAGCACCTCTGTGCCAGCGCCACAGGCACCCAGTCCACGGTGCTGCTGTTGCTGGCGTTGGCCAGTCCTGGGCTGCTGAGTTTCTTGGGGACACTGCTGGGCGGGGCTGGAATGGGGAACACCGGGCTCCAGTGATGGAGCATACTGTTTTGGTGAGTTTTTGTTTTTAACTTTTAGAGTCACTAGTACGAGTTAACTATCGACTGTACTACCAGCTGTACAACTGTCAACTTACTACTTGTAAAAACAAGCAGGCCTGAG